TGGCGCTGCCCCGCACCCGGCGCACGATGCCGAGGTAGCAGTGGAGCAGCAGCGCGGTCTGGCCCAGCACGGCCAGGGCGAGGAGCAGGGCGGTGTAGCGAGAGCTGCCGTCCGTCTGCCGCGGGGGCGGCTGCCGGGCAGAGCCCCAGGGCCAGAGCCCGGGCAGCAGCGGGACCAGGAGCAGGGCGAGGGCCCAGGAGAGCCCGATCATGCAGCCCGTGTGCCTCCGCTGGTAGAGGGCCTGGTACACGCTGGGCAGCTTGGTGATGAGCACGTACCTGTTGAAGGCCACCAGCAGGTGCGAGGCCAAGGAGACGGTGAGGCCGAGGCCGAGGAGCCCCCCTCGGAGCAGCCGGTACTCCGCCGAGCGAAGGGAGGAGGAGTTGGGAGGCAGCAACCCTAGCACAGCCTCCTGGGGCATCCACAGGGCGCACACGCTTAGGTCTGCCGCACAGCCGTTCACGATGAAGGCATTGCTGGTTGTCTGCAGCTTCTTGAAGGAGAAGACTAAATAGATGACCATCACATTGGATAAAGTCCCTGAGATAGCTAAAACTGCATAGAGCAGCGACAGGAAGATGCGGGTCCCGGAGGAGTCCTCCCAGAGCAGCAGCAGAGGCGAGCTAGCACTCCAGGAAGAGGCGTTGGGCATCTCGCTGAATGCAGCTCAGTTTTGACTTCTCCCTGTAAATCCCATCCTTGTCTGGGTCAGAAGATCCTGCTGCAGGAATCCCCCACCGAGCGCAAGGGAGGCTGTGCAGCTGAGGGACTCTAAGGCAGGTTTCAGTCATACAAGCTGCACGGTCCAGAAAACGCGGTTCACAGTAACGATCCAGAGAACAGCAGTGTCCAAGGCAGGTAGGTAGCAAGAGATCCCACAGGCTGTATCTACCGAAGGTGGGTCCATAGGGAGCAGATGGCTGTTAGCAGACCAGAGCACGACTGAGGATTTGGTAGCTGTGAAAATGCCAAAAGCAGCAGCACCTTGCAATCAGCAGCAGAAACGGCAGCAACTGATACAAAGCTTTGCAGTTTCTCCTGTGCCACAGTACGTACACTGTATATCATTCCAGGAAGATTCAGCCCTTCCACTCTTCATGAATTATTCAGCAGATTTTCAACTTGTTAAATCAAGAAGAAAAAAAAAAAAACCCAAATCCTATCATGCTCCAGAAATACTGCAACTACAGTCTGACTCTTTCTCCTTGCCTTAGCAGTTCCCTGGTTCTAACCCATTTACACAACTTTCATTTGCAGCAAGCTTTCAAACCAGTATCAGTCACTTCTGTCTCAAATACAATCCATTTACTGTAGAAACTCCTCTGCCAGATACTCACTTAAAATGATTTTTTTCTGATCTTATTTTTGTTAAGGGAAAGCACACTATGCTTCTGCAAGCTTAAAAGTTAATTTTAGAACTAACTGGTCTATAGTAACAATATACTTTCTAAATCTTTCAAACACAATAGATACACAGATCCTTGGAAAGATGGTACTTATTCAAGGAAGCTTGTCCTCAATCTAAATATTCTACATTTCTTCATAACACTCAGCCTGTCTCAGCCCGCAGGAAATCCTGCGTCACCAACCTGCCAGAGGCGAATGCTGGTGTCGGAAAGTAAACAGACAAAACAGCGTAGCATTTGAAACTGTCTCGCACCAAAACTAATTCAGAGCACAAGTTCCCGCAGAGGTGAATGACAGGTTCTTAGGTGGACTAAAAGCTGGCTGAAGAGTGGGGCTTAACAGTCTGTTCCCAAATGGAGAAGAGTTACTAGTAGCATCCTCCCAGGAACTCCATGGTGCTTTACTCGAACAGGGACAAAATGCTAACTGGACAAGACTTAAGAAGCTGAGTAAAAGAACTGACATTTCCTCTCAAAAGCTTTCCAGAAAGGGAATGCTGATTAATTTTGTAGTGAGTTTAGGAGAAAAGCTGCTTTTACAGGTGGGTTATATGTAGGCTACAGAAGTAAGCAATCTCAGCTCATAAGGCATGACCTGTACATTGACCAAAGATACCTTCTTAAGGTGTTTTTAGCTACTGTTAAAAATCTCAAGATGCTAATAGATGATAATACCAAACCAATATATTAGGAAGTACTTGCAGTTACAATATACATTCTTTAAGATAATGAAGTTAATTTGTGGGGGTTAGGGGATTGTTTTGTTGCAACAGCATGTCTTTTGTTTGACAGAAAGGCTCATGTTTGCAATTGACAGGATTATTGATCCAAATGTGGATTTGTTACAAACATGAGTATCTATGGGTTTTTTTAATTAATTAGATTGCTCATGTTCTTAAGGTTAAAGACATACCTGAGTGATTTACTTGATCAGGCCCTTAATTACCATATTTTTTGCCTGCTGCACTTTACAGTGTAGATCTAATCAAGTGTCAAACCTTTTGAGGCCTTTCATTGTTTAACTGTCAGTAGAGAACAGTTATTACAGAAACGAAAATCCTCCTCTTTCTGCAGTACTGTAATTGAAAAAATATTCTCTAAATCTGTAACAAGAAATACCTCCCTAACCACAAAGCTTCATAAAACATACTTTAAAGAGATGATTAACAGTTTCATAAGGCATTAGCCGCAGAATCATAGGCCCGGTAGAGACCTCTAGGATTTATTTGATCCATCTTTACATGTTTATCTAAACCTCTTTTTAAAGATCTTGTGCTACAGCTTGCTCTCCCAGAACAAGATATATTTATGTATGAAGGAACAGAAATGGTAAAGTTCAAGGATAAGTGAAGAGAGGATAGGAAACAAATTTCAGGGTATTTCTTAAAAGCTACAAGGTTCTAAAGACCTCCCTGACCTTTCACTGTCCCCAAATTTGTTGTTGTTAAGAAGCTCATTGTTACAGAATACTCGCTATATTTATCATTCATTTTTAAGAACAGAAAATATGCTGTACATTAGCTGGCATTTATGTATTTCAAATAATAAATCAATAGAAGTGAAGTCTAGAAAAAGGCTAAGGGAGAGGTTGATTCCTGTGTACTAGAAACTTTTTAATTAGTTGTTCTGCCTTTATATTTGCTCTACACATCCAAATCACCATCCATTAATTGACTGAATGTAGTGGCAGAAGCCTTTTATTGTGTTTTTAGATTAGACTGTCACTAGAATTTGGGCATCTTCTAAAGCATCTGCTTTATTCCTGGCTTTGCCATTCCTTTAGAGTAGCTGTGGAAGAGTTACATACTGTCCACATCATCTATTGCAGTACAGACCTGACAGGAATATTAAGCACTGTGGATAAATAATCATGCAACACAACCACTTCTGCCTAGTTTTAATTGAAGAAAGGACAAAAAACTACATGAAAGCATTATCTTTCAGGTTCTTATGGACAAAGACCCTGCTGTCAGTGAGATTAAGAAACCTGTTGCACATGCAAAAAAGACAAGGTATATTGTACCTTTAACAAGGGTCCCTGTCCAGGAAAAAAAAGTTTCCTCAATTCCGACACAGCTTTTAAATTTTGGTATTTTGAAATACAACCTTTACAGCATATTATCAACAGGCTGATTAAATACTTGATGTTACACAAAGCTAGAGAGATCAGTTACAGAAGATACCTGTCACACTAATGTCTTTTTGCAACATCATCTTACTTATAAATACATTACGTGCTTTAGAAGAAAAAAGGTGATTTCCAAGATCTACTCTTCAGTGAGACATGCAGTTGTAGTAGTTTATATCAAAAGATCCAAGTAAGAAAAGCCAAGAAACAAGGAAGCTGGCTGATATAGGCATTTTATTATCAATTAGCTGTATGTATATATATGTATCTACATTTAAAAATTAAACAGTATTTTATTAAGGAAAACTATTTATAACAAAGTACATGACAAAATTCTTTATAAGAGGTAGAATTACCTTACCATTAATCTATAATTCATATACAGTATATTGTATATATATGCACACACATATGCTACTTCGTGTGTGTATATGTTACATATACACAGTTGTGAAAAAAATACAGTATTGCATGTAAATTTTCTTCAGTGATTTATATAGCTGCTCTCAGTATTGCTTATTAACACTTTCAATACAACTTTACATAGCAATTTGTGATCTGATCTTTTTAAAAAATAATGTGGCACTTTATCTTAACTTTAGTTGTGAAGCAAATGCAGGGCATTCACAGGTCTTCAGGAACAAAGACTGACAATTCAACCAAGTTTTATTTTCAAGTTTACGTAGATACCAGAAAAACTCATAGATAACAAATCTGGTTTGGTTTTGTCTTCTAAATTAGTGGCAAATCAGCTCCTCGAAGCTGCTTACCTTTTTTTTTTTTTTTTGCTTACTATGCACTTGTGGAGTTCTGAAAATTTTACAGGTGATCTCTAGTACTTCACTGTAACAACTGCTTCTTTCTAAGTCTCATTCCTAATCACACCTGATTAAACTATATGTTAAAGAGCATCTTTACTACTGACAAAAATATTCTGTGATACAGGAGGTTACATTAGCTATATGTTTAACAGTAGTTTTCAAATTAAAAGGTTTATGAAGCATCCAATTTGTAAGTGAAAATTTAATATACTTCCAACATTTACTTGAGCATGCTTTGCTAATGAAACTGTACACATGCTGCCAAATGTCGGTTAAAAACATGTAAGTACGCAGCACTGCGAAATTCATTGTACGTGCACATTCCTGCCAACTTAAGTTTGGTCTGCCTTCATTTTTGCAGTGGATATTGCATGGCAAAATTTAACATTCTACATTGAAAATAAAAAGTTAAAACATTCCTTTAAGACAAAATGAAAGAAAGCGTTAATTGTACAATTGAATCATCAGATAAATTACTTTCTCTTCGCAGTGGAAGATGTAAGTTACGTTACATCTCAACAAATATTTTCCCTTTATTTTTCTTTCATAGTGCTTCCTTATGAAACATTAGCAGCTAAAAGTGGAAAGCAGACTAGGTATCAAGTGCTTTCTGTTGAAAGTGTAATAACTCATCTCTCACTAGTTAGACTTCCGTTAAGTTACCAGAAGGCCAATTAGTGAAGAAGTAATTACATTAGGCTTTAAGCAATAATGGTGGACCCATAAAACAAGAAAAACATCTTGTTCATAAAAAAATTCTCGTATCTTCGATAAACATGTAAAAATTATTTAAAATACACATTTTTGTAGCAAAGTGGACACTAAATTAAAATATATTCTATTTTTTACATAATTTTTATATATATTGCTTACCAAAATATTCTCTTAATACATATTTTAACACTGTACACAAGTTAATAAATGTCTTAATGAAACTCATTAGAAATATATTCAAGCTGTCTCAACATTAAAAATTTAAATCTGTATATAACATGGGGTAATAATTTCCACAAATTCAACATCAGTGCATCTGCAGTAGTCATTAAAAAGAAATTTCTGCCTGTTAAGAAGTCTCCTCTTGGTGTTAAGGTTTTAATATGTCTTGTATTGAAGACTCCTCCTCTGAGTGAGCAGCTTCCTTCCTTCAGTTCTCCTTCATGAAGGACTTCCAACTTTAAGAGCTCAGCAGGTTTCACCAAAGCAGCAAGGCTTTAGTACTGAACATACTCAGACTGAAGGGACTGTGCAGAGAAGAAAAAAACTGATTAAAACTCACTGAGGAGGTTACATTTGTATA